ATAAATTTCAACAAATAAATAGTATTCCATGTCGCAACCCAAAAAAAGGGATAATGTAGTCGCAACCAGGTGTCATAATCATTTTTATACGATGCAAAGGGGATTGGAAACATCATCAAAAGTTGCAGCCGGTGTCCTTAAAATCAATCACACGTTTTGCAAAATCCTTGTTCCGATTTAAGCAATCATTTGCCAATCAATTTTCACGGACATATGATTTTTATGATTTTTGTACAAGTATCATAGTACAAAATTTAAACTAAGTAACAATGGCAGTCCTCGATATATTTATTTGCCATATAATTAATATCTTCTCCAAAAAGATTATTGTTCCAACGAACGCTATTGCCTACTGCATTTCTATTTAAATCATAAGTATTCTCATCAAGATAATTATACTCGCTTAATCACCTTGACAATGGTCAGCAATGCAAAAGCGTTTCCTGTCACAGCAAACCTTACTGTCCGCACAGCTCCTTCTTTGAGTGCTAAAAAAGTTCGTACTGTTCCTATCGGTTCACATGTTGATATAGTTTGCCAAACCACTGGTGACACTGTCCAAGGCATCAACATCTGGGATAAGTTGATTGATGGAAACTTTGTCTCTGATGTTTTCGTCAAAACTGGCACTTCCGGTTTTTCTCCGGACCTTCCACGTTGTAAAAACACTTCATCTTCCAATATCGGTTCCCCCAACAATGGCAAAATTAATAACGAGGGTCTTGAGCTTATTAAAAGATTCGAGAAATTCGAAGAAAATTTTTACAATGATCCTGTGGTAAGTTTGTCCATTCTTGTATTATATTGACAACAATTGAATATATGATTAATAACTAATTAAATATGACATAAGGGTATCAAAACCATTGGTTATGGTCATGCTTGCCATGTCAACAATGTTGATGACATCAAACCACCCATAACTATTGCCCAAGGCGAAGCTTTACTTAGGAAAGATTTAGTTACGTTCGAAAAGGGTATTAGCTCACTCACCAATGTCAGTCTTACTTCCAATCAGTTCTCCGCTTTGGTTTCATTTGCCTTTAATCTTGGCTGTAATACCTATAAAAAATCTACATTACGCAAGAAAATTAATGAAGGTGACATTGAGGGCGCTTCCCTTGAGTTTGGCAAGTATATTTATGGTGGTGGAAAGATATTACCCGGTCTGGTGAGACGCCGTGAAGCTGAGAGAGCGTTGTTCTCTAAAGATAATTAAAAGATATATGAAAAGTAAACTATTTACTATTATTTAAATAAATCTTGTAACAAACTTTTTATAAACCCTGCAACTAATTAAATTTTTTAAAAAATCTAAAATATTTAGTTTTTAATAAATGTATATTATTGAAATGTGAATATTTTACCTATAAAGGAAATAAATTGCTTTCTTTGATTTATCATAATGTTTCATTTTCCATCCCAAATTTCCGAACCATTTACATTCTTTCCTGCTTATTTGAGTAAATTCTTAACCCTTGAAAACATGAAGAAGAGCGCACCTGGAAATAATCAAACCAAAAGGAATAATTATAAGTGCATCTCCCTCCCTTTTATTTTAAATGATATTACTGTACCAAAATTCACAAAAAATGTAGATTTCCCATAATCATTGAAATCCATCTTGGAAATCTACATTCCTGGCGGTTAAATGCATACCATTTCGTATTAATGCGAACCTATTATCATTACATGAGGATGCTGCAACAATAAAGAAATTATCTGATTTGATATGATCTAATTCCTTCTTTCAATGCTTTGCGGTAGGCATGAAATGTCGTTGGACCTTGAATAAGATGATTAAAGCTTCATTCATATAGTAATCGCATATAATTAGTCAAATTGATACAGATTTTTACTACGTAGGTTTGTTTATAAAATAACATCTTTTGAGACGGTGAAATATCTGTCAAGTGATATAAATTCAGCTTGAAAACAATATAACCCTTTGGTATGATTAACCTTTTTTTTTTCAGCCAATTTGGTTAACACTCTAATAGATAATTCCAAACAAACAAAATTAGTTTCAAAATAAAAAAAAGAAATTGATGCAATATTGGCTCATATGATTTTGATGTAGTTTACCATTATCACTTGATGATGTATGACGATTTTTTTGACTTTAGTCATTGACGTAACTAAAGTATTGACTAAAGGTAGTCTCTCACCAGTATTATTTTGACGATTTGACTAAAGTAAAAGCCCCTAACGTAAGTAAAACTACTTGACTTAATTAAAAAAATGCTTGATACAAGTAAAAACACTTGATACAAGCAAGCAATAATGATAATGATAAAATAGGATTATAAAAAGTGTAAAAATGTGTATCCCGAGACGAATAAAGAATTATTATATCATCCTATGTATATTGCAATGATGCAAAAAGAATAATTATCATGAGAAGTTTATAAATGTTATAATTTGAATTAGAAATTTACTTCATTAAACTACTTATTTTTTCCTCTTTTTTACAAATTAAAACCATTCTTTCATTATTGCATTTCATAAAATGTAAATATTTTTTCAAAATTTTAACTTTGAAGTTAGTTATAATAGTAATACGCAATAATATTAATAGTATGCTTGAGCTGTCTTTGGTGTCTGAGTTTGAAATAACATAGGTTGATCAATATTAGTACTTAGAGCGACCTTTACATAACACATAAGACAGGTTTATTTTCGTAAGTTTAATTTTGTTTTCTATTTTATCACTTTTCAATCTTTAAAGAATTTCTTTTATTGTTGAATCATGATCGTTCTTTAAATAATGCAATTTTCGTTTTTCCTTATCAATTAATATTATTAAAATGTTGTACGAAAAAATTGTTACACGCCATTCAATTCAATTCACCGCTCCACAAAAAAAAAGTTCTTCTCATTTATTAAAATACCAAGTTGACTTTTATATTTTATATTTTATATAATGTCATATGATAATTTGTTATCATCGTTATCATCAGAAAGGAAGGAATTTGTATATAAAATTAATAATGAAATGCTTAATGATGTTAATGTTAATAATTCTGATAGAGAAAGTAGAAAAGATTATTTTTTTTCATTAGTCAAGAAAAACAAGGAGCTTTCTGAAAATGAAAAAGAATATTGTAAGGAAAGGTTTATTTATCATGTTGAATTAGGTAATGCAAGAGATAAATTAGGCAAACCAAAAGAATGTAACAAGTGTAAACTGACAAAATATTCTGATAGGTTCTGTGAAGGTTGTATTAGTTTACAATTACAGAGCCTTTTTACCACTTGGACATCTGGAAATAACATAGTTGACAACTTTATTCAACAATGTCAAATGAAATCATCCCTGCCAGACTATATTTTAGAATGGATACCTTTTGAGCAATTTAAAAAAGTAACAAAGTTGACAGAAGGTGGATTTAGTTCGATTTTTACTGCTACATGGACAAGAGGAAGTATTAAAGATTACAACGAAAATAAAAAGGAATTTAGTTATTTTGGAGGGCAAGATGTAGTATTAAAAAGTTTAAACAATTCAAGTAATCCAGGAAAAGGCTTTTTTGATGAGGTTGGTAGTTGTCATTTAAACAAATAAACAACACTGTATTATATAATGCTAATTGATTTTATATTCAATAGGCAATAAATTATTGTAAAATTAAATCAGCATTGATTGTTAAGTGCTTAGGTATAACTAAATTCCCAGATAATGGAAATTATGCAATTGTTTTAGCTTATGTACATGAAGGAAATTTAAGGGGTTATTTGCAAAAAAATCATTTAAATTTAACATTAAAAGACAGAATTACAATATTTTATTATTTATGTTGGGCATTAGATGATATACATGAAAAAGATTTAATCCATTGTGATTTACATGGTGGTAATATACTTGTGCAAGGAGGTAATTGTTATATTACAGATTTAGGATTATGTGGACCAGTTGATGAAAAGTCATCAAATAAAGTCTATGGAATTATATCATATATTGCACCTGAGCTACTTGGAGGCAAAAAGAATGCAAAGAATACAAAAGAAACTGATATCTATAGCATTGGGATGTTAATGTGGGAAATATTTGCAGGTCATCCACCATTTGATGATGAGGCGCATGATTTTCATTTGCAATTAAGAATATGTGAAGGTTTACGTCCACCAATATTATCACAAATGCCTGATGATTATGCATGGATGATGCAAAGGTGTTGGGATGTGGATCCAGCCAAGAGACCAACTATTAGTGAGCTTTGGGAATTTGCTCGTAATAAATCAAAGGAAATTTATGAAACAAAAAATTTTAATGAAACTAGCAGTGATAGTGATGGTGGTGGTAATAATAGTAACTTGCAACAAATTCACAAATCACATCCATTAGCATATCATACAAGTCGAATATTAAATGATGAATTTTCCAAATTGAACTTAAAAAGCAATGATAGTTTATTAAGTGACCTTGATATTAATGAAATATAATCTTGAATTTAATATGATTATTTATAAATTAATTATAATGATAATGGTAATATAATAATAAGTAGTTGATAAGGGTTAAATTAAAGTTGGAGAATTAGGTAAATTGTTGATGGGTAGATAATCACCATTTATTAATTAATTATTAATTTAATTTATTTATTTTAAAAAATTTGATTAATTTCTCTCCAATTCAGAATCACACATTTTATAATTGAATAATTAATATAATACATAATTTTCCTGATGTCAAAAATCAAAATAATCTCAAAATCAAATGTTAAATACGAAATAACACAATAAAAATTTTATTACAAATAGAAGATAGTAAAATTCGTGATTCAATTAATTTTTTTATTACAAATAGAAGATAATAAAATTTGCGAGGCAATTGATTTTTATCCAAAGGTAAGTTCTCATGAAGAGATTTGCAAAAATTAAAATTAGAACAGAGAAAAATTGGTTTAAAAAACCAGAATGGGATATTGCGGGTCAAAAATATAAAAAAGCAGTATTATATTCTAAATCAAACTTTTCTTTTATATGTATTTTTTTAAACATTAGCTTCTAGTTCCAAATCTGCCAATACAATTAGATTATATATGTCAATAATTGCCACCCAGCTATTTTTATCAATAACTCAATATCATCATTGTCATCATCTCTGTTCTCCAATGTTCATTCTCCTCCTGATTTGACAGCTACAAGAAAAACAATGAGTATTTGAAAAATTCCATTGTAATTTCTGTTGAAGTATTTCTTGCACCTCTTTAGGCGAGGTATCTAAATGACAGATTGTGGATTTTCAGCTTTAGGTAAGTGGTTACATAATTTTACCTAACCATGTCAATATAAGTATACGTGGTTTTCCTAATTATAATTACTTATTTTCAGGAAATTCGCATTATTCACAACATCGTGTCCAGCTTTTGGTCCTGGCAAAAGAATAGAGACAACCAGTACTCTTTAGTTAATGTATCAAAAAATATGCTTTCATTGTCACTAATCTCTTACAACTGTTTTCATATTCTTTGTTTCACAACAAAATATTTATTAATCGTGATTTAAATTCAAACTATTTCCCTGATAAAATAAGTTGTGGTGGGTCGTTTTTGAACATGCACCGATTAATTTACTCTTAATAATAATAAATCAATTAGCTAACAACTGAAACCATTTGGTGATAATCTGATCAATCAAAATTCTCTTTAATTCCATCCATAATTTGATGACCATTGTTGGTTTAGCTGCTGCTTAAGCAATGGTGCTATAATTGAGGCGGTGTTAGAACTCTACTTACAAATATTTACCTCTCAGTAACTGTCGTTTTTGTCAACAGTCATCTTGTGACCCCTACATGTTGACAAGGAACCGCATAACAAGGCCTGATTGCAAATTGCGACTCATATTTGCATGGTTATTCTTTTTCTTTCAGTTTTTTATTCGAGGCACTTGTTAAATCAAGGGAAATGTATTTTTATTGCATATAAACTTTTATTAATAATTATATATTAACTTAAAGCTCCGAACGAATCAATGAAAATCGAATCGCCTAATTTTTGATTCGTTTCATTTGATCTATATCATTCATTGGTTATATTTACTATTATTTAGTGATGGTGGCCGAAACTACCTTACTTAATGACCGAGATTGCCGAAATTAATTGGCCTAAACTTGGACGAAACTAATTTAATGTTAATAATAGCTGAAATTGAGCGAAATCATTTAGGTTTTTAAAGTAAAAGTAGATTGATCTAGATGTTTATTTTATGTTTGTTAGTATAAAAAAGATTTGATTTAGCAGATAGTTTGGGTAATTAGAAATTTTTTCCAAAAATCCGTTATTATTATATCAGTATTAGTGATTAGTGATAGTATTCGTATTAGTATTAATATCAAGAAATCCGTTATATTGTATTTTATTATTATTATTATTAAACCATTCTTAGATCTCGATCCATCAAATCGAGGTACACTAAATTGAGATTCACTGTGTTAATACAAATTTAATATGACATTAAAAAAAATTCAGGAATTCGGTTTGACTTGAATCAAATTGAATTGAATCGAATTCAGTTTTTTGAATTCGAATCGAATCACCCTAAAACTTGATTCATTCGGAGCCTTATGTGTGGTCCATTGGTGATCCATTGGGTCCGTTAGTGTAACTCTTTAACCATATTTAATATTTATTAATGGTAATGGACCAGTCCAAAGTCAAACAGTTCTCAATGAACCAGTCAATTTGCCAACCGTAGTAAATTGGGAACTGACTTGAGGTCCCGATTATCATCATTTTGCCCTTGTTCCTGCTTTTCCTTTTCCTTTCCATAATCATCATCGCCTTGTTCATTGCCAACTTTTCCCTGTTGATTATTATTATTATCATCAATATCATAAACAAAACCCCAAACCTCAAATTCTTTTGGCGCACTGGTAACATCCATAGCTAACTTTTTAGTCACATGTTCATATGTTACTGCTGTAACAAATATTTTTCTACTCAATAATATAGCTAATTGACCTTTTTCTCCAGAAAAAGGCCAACACTGACCAACATGCATTTCAGGTTGAATAGCTGTTGTTGGTGGTCTACCTCGTGTGATTCCATGACCAGTTACTGATGCAATAATTTGTTGAGACCACTTTGTAGGCCAAGTTTCATATGTTGGAGATGTCAACACACTTATGATCTTGGCACCACCTGATAAAAGAGCATAATCAGCTCTATTCAATTTATCCTGTGAATAGTCATGCAATTTCTCTTCTACTGTTTTATGAATTTCATTCCTAATTAGATTAGCAATCACATCATTAACAATATATCTTTGATAAGTTGTAACCTCATGATTGGCTTGTTGTGGCAGTGATGGTTTAATTCGTTTTTCCACTTCAGCAGCACATATATTTTTCACTTGTTCTTCAACTGCAGCTCTAACCAATGAATCACTATACTCGAAACCAACTTCATGGTTATGATGGTGATGACCATCATCATTAATGACAATGAAATTTCTATACTGTGAATCAAGATCAGTGGTTTTGATTATCCAAAATGCACATTGATTATTTGAGAATGAAAATTGACAAATATAGCAATAACTTAAAAACAATATAAATGCTGGGAATATCCACCATTTGGAATTGTTTAAATAGAATGCAAATGTTCTTATAAGAATTCTCTTGTTTAGAATCACTTTACTATAATTTAAAAGAATTGCTAGAATATTTTGAAAGTTATTTTCTTTGATCCGATTCCTCCAACCATCAGAAGCATCATTGCTTCCATTACTTTCATCATTAACAATATCACCATTTAAGCCATTTGACTGAGTATCATTTAAACTTTTAGTATCCAGAACTTTATCTAAAATTTTATCGTCCTGCTTATTGATTATTTCATCATAATCATCACCATCATCATTATTGCCATCATCTTTTTTATTATTTAATAATGGTAATAATGGTGTTGCAAAAAAATCTTTCAAACTTTTTTGGGAAAGTTGGCCTAAAAAAGAAGTCATTTTTGAATCCGTCATTGTTGTTTCCTCTTCTTCCTCTCCTCCTCCTCTATCTTTTCCATCTTTTTCTTGAACAGGAAACATTCTATTAGAAGAAGATCCCGCATTATCGTCTTCACAAATAAAAAAATATGAACCAACTACTGTTGATTGTAATGATGATGGATACGTCGAATTTAGAGAAGAATTACAGAAACTACTACTTCCTGATTCGTCATAACTTATATTATCTTTATTTAATTGGTCGGAATTAAAATTATCAATAGAACTATTATTATTATTAATATTATTATTATTATTATTATTATTGTAATTATTATTATTGTTGT